CTGCATGAATGAAAACTTTGCTATTATTTTGAACAGAGCATAGCTAGAATTCCAACTCCTGTTGCCGGTGTAAGATTTGTTGGTTGTGATACATGACACTCATTTATACCGTCATTCTAAAAGATAAAAGGTAATATGAAATGTAAGTAACAAAATGCATGGGCAAAGTTGTTACATGTTGCATATGGCATTAAGGCCACTTTGAAATATATTCAGGTGGGGAGTCCCTCCCTCCCCAGTGACCATTAAAAAAAATGTTCTAATTATTTATTTAGTTAAAATAAGCACCATATATCTATTACTAACTATAATTGTCTATAGGTAAAGTGTTCGTCTTTTATCGAGAAGATCTGGGAGCAAAGAGATCAAAGAGCAGAGCTGACACATATAGACTAAGTGGAGCGGCATGCATCCGGTATTTACTTGTTTTTATAAACTATTGATTTGAACATCGTTCTGTAACATAGGAACTTAGGGCATCTCGTTGTGGCATCCCTCCCGGGATGTCGCGTCATGCTCGCAGCACAGATGCTCGGCTGCCTCATGCGCCCTACATTGCCTCTCTTCAGCTTGGAGGCGGTTCTTGCGATGGCATTCCTCCAGCCTGACATGGAAGAATTGTTCTTCAGCCTCGGAGAGCACGGGGTCCGCGTGGACCCAAGGCGGTGACACTTGGGTCTTGGCAAATGCCACCGAGCACTGCGCCAGCGCGCCTACGCCTTGGTGAGCCATTTCATGTCCCCAAATGATGAAGACGAAGTGCCACGTGAGCCACCACATGGAGGTAGTACCGTAGTAGTCTAGGCGTCTTCACGGCTTTGGCGAACAATGGCTCTTGCTTTACCGGGGTCGTACGCCATTTGGTGTTAAGGCATCTAGGCAACAAGGACGGCTGCACACGACATCCGATCTGGTCATCTGGACACCACGGTTGTGCGGAGGGGACGGCGTCGCAGGACCATGGTCGACCAACGAGCGATGCAGTGCGATCCGCATGTGTTGCGTGAACTCGTCTTCCATCGCCGCCGCCGGGATACGTAGGGTGACAATACTAGCGTTGTGGGAGATTTGGATGCACCAACTGTACTTTCAGAGGAAGGGAAGCTTCTATGAGCGAGGTATTACAGGCGATTAGAAGGGGCGTCGAGCTATGGCGCCAAGCCAGTGCATCTTGCCTCATGTACCCGTTCACGTTACCTCCATAGGGAATGGACTGATGTTTTCCCCCCACCCCCCCTCTTCCTCGTAGTTTTGTTGTAGCCCTGTATTTTTCGCTTTTATCCTTCTGAGGATCAGCTCCATGTATTTTTTATTCGTTGCTCTCTGCTATAATCAACATGAAAAGCCAGCATCAAGCTAGATCCTTAAAAAAAGACTGTGGTGGCTTCTCCTCGTTAAAGTCTTTTGCCTCGATTTTTGCCTAGTCGATGTCTTTGTCATCTGAGACCAACTCCTTCTTCATGGCAGGCAGATCCTAGGACGATGACAAAGCCGTCGACCAGGGGCGTGATACGACGGACTTTTCCAAACACTTTTGCCCTTGTATTGAATTTTAATAACTTGCATGATTTGAATGGAACTAAGCTGGACTGACGCTGTTTTCAGCAGAATTGCCATGGTGTTATTTTTGTGCAGAAATAAAAGTTCTTGAAATGAACCTGAAAATCAACAGAGATTATTTTTGGAATATATAAAAATAATGGAACAAGAATCCACGTCAGGGGGCCCACACCCTGTCCATGAGGGTTGGGGGTGCGCCTACCCCCTGGGTGCGCCCCCTGCCTTGGCCCCCTTGACGCTCCACCGATCTCAACTCCAACTCCATATATTCACTTTCGGGGAGAAGAAAATCAGAGAGAAGGATTCATCGCGTTTTACGATACAGAGCCGCCGCCAAGCCCTAAACTCTCTCGGGAGGGCTGATCTGGAGTCCGTTCGGGGCTCCGGAGAGGGGAATCCGTCGCCATCGTCATCATCAACCTTCCTTCATCACCAGTTTCATGATGCTCACCGCTGTGCATGAGTAATTTCATCGTAGGCTTGCTGGACGATGATGGGTTGGATGCGATTTATCATGTAATCGAGTTAGTTTTGTTAGGGTTTGATCCCTAGTATCCATTATGTTCTGAGATTGATGTTGCTATGACTTTGCTATGCTTAATGTTTGTCACTAGGGCCCGAGTGCCATGATTTCAGATCTGAACCTATTATGTTTTCATGAATATATGTGAGTTCTTGATCCTATCTTGCAAGTCTATAGTCACCTATTATGTGTTATGATCCGTTAACCCTGAAGTGACAATAATCGGGACCATTACCGATGATGACCGTAGTTTGAGGAGTTCATGTATTCACTATGTGTTAATGCTTTGGTCCGGTACTCTATTAAAAGTAGCCTTAATATCTCTTAGTTTCCTATAGGACCCCGCTGCCATGGGAGGGTAGGACAAAATATGTCATGCAATTTCTTTTCCATAAGCACATATGACTATATTCGGAATACATGCCTACATTACATTGATGAACCAGAGCTAGTTCTGTGTCACCCTATGTTATAACTGTTACATGATCGATCGCATCCGACATAATTCTCCATCACCGATCCATTGCCTACGAGCTTTTCATATATTGTTCTCCGCTTATTTACTTTTCCGTTGCTACTGTTACAATCACTACAAAACCCAAAAATATTACTTTTGCTATCGTTACCACCACTATCATATTACTTTGCTACTAAACACTTTGTTGCAGATATTAAGTTTCCAGGTGTGGTTGAATTGACAACTCAACTGCTAATACTTGAGAATATTCTTTGGCTCCCCTTGTGTCGAATCAATAAATTTGGGTTGAATACTCTACACTCGAAAACTATTGCGATCCTCTATACTTGTGGGTTATCAAGACTATTTTTTGGCACCGTTGCCGGGGAGCATAGCTCTATTCTTTGAGTCACTTAAAAGATCAAAGAACCAAGATTTTCCCTCAACTACGAGGGGAGGTAAGGAACTGCCATCTAGCTCTGCACTTGATTCACCTTCTGTTTTGAGTAAACTTACGACACCTACACATGCTATTGATTTTGATAGGTCGCATGTTATTGATGATGCCACTTCTGCTTTGCATGATACTTATGATGAAACTACTTCTATGCTTGATACTACTGTGCCACCAGGTGAATTTCTTGATGAAAAACTTGCTAGGGCTAGAGAGAATGAAATTATTGAAACTGATAATATTGATGAAAGCGATGATGAAGATTCTCTCCTATGAATTGCCTGTTGTTCCTGAGGGTTATGTTATGGATGAAGAAACTGCTAGAGACTTCTTAGCTTGCAATGATAGATCTGATCTTAAAAAGTTATTAGCTAAGCTTAAAGAAAAGTCTTTGAATGCTAGAATGAAATATGTCCCTGCTTTTGCTACTTCACCTATCTTTATTACTGATAAGGATTATGATTCCTCTGTCGACCCTGAGATAATTACTTTGGTTGAATCTGATCTTTTTTATGGCTATGAATCTAAAACTGTTGTGGCACATCTTACTAAATTGAATGATATAGCCACCCTATTCACTAATGATGAGAAAACTCACTATTACTATATCCTTAAGTTGTTTCCATTCTCATTAAAGGGTGATGCTAAAACATGGTTTAATTCTCTTGATCCTGCTTGTGTGCGTAGTCCCCAGGATATGATTTATTACTTCTATGCTAAATATTTCCCCGCTCATAAGAAACAAGCTGATTTAAGGGAAATATATAATTTTATGCAAATTGAAGAAGAGAGTCTCCCACAAGCTTGGGGGAGGCTTCT